CTTACTAGCCCAGGTAGCCACCACTCCACTTCTTGTTTATATGAATTTGACTACTCAAGGAACCTCATTTAAGTGGAATTGTATGGCATCTGTCATTTTGTGGCTGGCTTATTTTATTTATCATAATGTCCTAAAGGTGCCTCCATGTTGTGGCAGGCGTCAGAATTTCCCTTCTTTCCATGGTTAATAGTCCATTGAATGCTTATAGCACATTTGGTTTATCCATTCATCAGTGAGCAGACACTTGGATTGCTTCCACCTTTTGTCTCTGGTGAGCATTGCAGCTACAAACATGGGCATACAGTATCTGTTAAGGTCCCTGCCTTTGATTCTTTTGGGTATATACCCAGAAGTAGAATTGCTGGTCACATGGTAATTCCATTTTTAATTATCTGAGGAACGGCCATAGTGTCCGATAGAGTGCACCATTGACATTTCTACCAGCAAGATTTCCAGTGTCTCCACATCCTTGCCAACACTTATTATTAGCGTATTCTCTCCCCAGTAGTCATCCTAATGAATTCATAGTACTATCTTATTGTGGTTTTCATATTTTATCCAATTAAACCTTAGCTTCGTTTCTCCAGAGCCTCCTCACTTCAAAATCATACAACATTATCTCCCATTTAGACATGTCATATCACCGGTTTTCATGCTAATTTCTACCTGAATTGCTATGATTTAAAAATATCATTGGAGAGATAAGGAGAGTAGCTCAGTGGTAGAGCACTTGCCTAGCATGTGCAAGGGATAGTAGCAGTAGTAAATTAAAGAAAAAAAAATCATTGGAGAAACATGGATTTTAATATACAAGAGCAAAAAAACCATTTAGAAGACTGGATCTTATAAAGCATCCTAAGACAGTTTCTTCCCAAGAAGAAATGGCCAAAGAGATGCACACAGACCTTCTTCTCTCTCTGCTAGCTTGAGTGAGCAGCTGAAGTTCTCTCCAAGGGAGCCCTGGAGGCCTGGGGATTCATCACTATGTCCACATAGTGTGTGCTACAGAGGCTGCTCCCAAGGCTGAGAACATTTCTCTGAATGATGTCTGCCTCTACCTCTTGGATGTCCTCCTGGTGGGACACAGAGGAAGAGTAGAAATAGCTCTGGGAAGTGTGGAAAAATTCTAGGGCCAGAACAAGTTGATGGTGGATAGAGGCTTGGACAGGTAGCAGGTAGAGATGGTCACACAGGATCACACAGCTTAAGCTAAAAAACTCTGAGGTCAGTTCTGGAGCACTTTCTGCAGGGAGTGTGATCCAATGTGCACGGTAAAAATGTGGGAGATGGATTTGGAGGCAGGAGGTCACACTGAGCCTTCTATAGAGCTTCAGGAGAGAGGAGACAGTGAGTGGAAGAAGGGGGACTGGTCTTGGTGATGGAGAGATATGTGCAGATGTGAGATACACCGTGTACACCAGCAGGTCTTAGTGATGGAGTGGACGTAGAGAGATTGCAGTAAAAGTTATTGAGTCAGTAAGTGATGTGGCCATGAAATGATTTGGGAACAATAAAGCAGGAGCAGATCACAGGAGTGAGAGGTATCTTGGTCTGCAGCTCTGTTTGGAACAATGAAGGGTTTCCTTCCTGGGAAGACCTCTGATGAACCAGGTGGTTGTAAGATCTCGTTTTATCTTCATTTGCAAAAGCCACTTTGACTTTTCATGCTTGAATAGATTCTAGTGATTTGAAATCAAGGCAAATTGATCCAGCTCAGGATCTTCTTAATTAGTGTCCAATAAGCAGTTGGCCGAGAGGCTTGAGTTTGCATCTATGGGGGCGGGGGGAAATGATGAGGAGACATTGGCTTTCTCCATGTCAGGTGGGGTTCTGGGTGTGTGACTGGTAAGTGAACAACAGCAGTGGCCTTGTTGTCTGGGGTGCCTCTGTGTGCCTTCTCCTCTCTGCCTACCCTCTTGCTCCTTACTTCTGGAGCAGATTATTGAAGGCCTCCTGGGCCTATGGTCCATGCCTCAGGAGATGCCAGGGAGTGCTATGCAAGGGAGTAAAAACAGGGCTTTGCTTCCTCCTAACTAGGAAGCCCAGCTTCCTGCTGAGACTCTTGTCCTGTGTCTGAGCTCCTCCACTCCACTGCAATTCCCTCACCTGCCCTAGCCATCCTGTTGTTTCAGATCTATTATTTACATCACTCCTTTCCCAGTAGGTGAAGGTTTTGATGATGACTAGAAACCTCCTGTATACAACTCAAGCTGACATGGGGACTTTTATTGCAAATAGGAGGGATCCAGGTGGCTGTAGCTAGGACAGAGGAACATGCAGCAGAGACAGAGCTGTCAGGAACCATTCGAGAAGTGGTGAGAAGGTGATGAGGGAGAAGACCGGGCAAGGGCTACACAGAGGACCCCCAGCAAGCCCCTACCCTATGAGATGGCCTCTAGATCACCTTAAGGCTATGTGAGAAATGGAATATCAGATAACCAAGATCTCAGTATGTGCAAGGGCAAGGGTATATCAGGGAAACACCCACATGGGCACAAAATTTGAGTGCCATAAAATGCAATACTCAAAATAAATCAAATTTTAATGCAAGTTTAGAAATCCAAACAACTGCAAAAAATATACATGATGAACACAATGAGGAATTGATATAACGACCAGTTGTTTTATGATCCTGCACAACTGTACAATGGGGACAGTTGTCTCCTTTCAGCCCTAGGTTCCTAGGTATTTTGGTCATTGCTTGCTGGGTAGGTTTGACAATGGGCTGTGAACAGATTGGGGAACATGAAGCCTTATATACGGTCATGTCTTATGATTGTAGAGTTTTATTAAACTTTCCTACTTGGTTCAACATATGGGATGATAACTTGACAGCTGTATATAACGATACATTTTCCTTTTGTCTCAGGCTCCAATGGGACTCCCTGTGGCATTGGTCTCTTGATTCCTTGTATAACTTGCGATATGGACATTGAAGTAGGCAGCATTCTCAAGCAGAGACAAAACTCTCTGCCAAGGGCCCTGTCTATGTCGAACCATTTTGTCACGTATAAATAAATGCCTGGTCATGGGTGGTTAGGGATCTGAGGAAATTCTGAAAGCAAATTACACGCAGGCTAGTGCTTTATATTGCAAGTCAGAAAATCTTTTTTTGGTTTTTAAGTCCTTTAATACATCATCTAAGAAAAAGCCTGCTTTGGAAAAAAATCACCAACAGAATTAGGAGAGAACAAGACAGATAAACAAAAACTAAGGGTTTCCCCCAAAACATCTTCTTAAAAATGCGGGTGAGACCCGGGTGAAAATGAGTTAGTAAGATACTGCGTCTACAAAGAGTATCGTGTGTGTGTGTGTGTGTGTGTGTGTGTGTGTGTGTGTGTGTGTGTGTGAGTGTGTGTGTGTGTTCTCTATTGAACTCAACTCCTTGGTTGATAGCTGTCGGATGGCAACCCGAAGGCTGAAAGGCAAGCGACCTCTCCATTCCTCAGTGCCTGTGAGTTGACTGGGTGGCTCAGGGTCCCTGAGAGGGGCTGGTGTCGTGGGCCTCTCGGGGTGCTCACCAATCTGCCCTCACAGGCTTTGCTTTTTATAGAGGAATCACCTTTGAGATGTGAGTGGGTGGGGCACTTGAGCTGTGGCAAACAAGCACGGAAGAGCTCCAACAGGGACCGGAGGAAGGCAGGCTGAGCTCTGAGTCACCACGCACTGTCTCGCTTTCAGGACCCCGGAGCCGCTCTAGGCCGCTCTTTCTCTGCCACCCAGCGGCCCTCTCCCTCCCTCCCCAGCGCCGCCTCCTTCAGCTCCGGCTCTGGGAGGGAAGAGTCCGTGGGCTTGGGAGACCGGGCGGTCCCTGACTGGGACGCGGGCGCACTGCCAGCCTTCGGCGCCTCGGCTGGAGGACCAGAGGACGCGGGACCG